GGGGATATTTTCACTCATACCCATATAGTTCTGTAACATGCATTATAGGCTTTGGCAGCTGTCATACATTAAGAGTGTTTTCAAATTTCCACTCCAGTGCGTATTCTTCTGGAAATATTTTTCCAAACCATAAATGAACAGGCTTTCAAGTTTTTGAAGGGCAGATGGGTTTCTTCCATTCTGTAGTGTTCTTCTATGGTTTGGAAAAATATTTCCAGAAGAATACGCACTGGAGTGGAAATTTGGAAACACTCTTAATGTATGACAGCTGCCAAAGCCTATAATGCATGTTACAGAACTATATGGGTATGAGTGAAAATATCCCCACATGTGATTAAAAATAGAAAGAATAGCAGTACAGATTCAGAGAACAGAAACATTTCCTCTAAAATCCATGATCCATCAACAAAGAAAATATAATTCATGGTCAATTCTGCAGGGAGGTTTTGGACAGCCCAAAGATGATGGCTTTAGGAACTTTTGAGCAGACTTAGTTCCTCAACAATTCTCTATAAATTAACCACTAAATGTAAAATCTGATTCATGGCATATTTCTTGCTCACTGTTTGAGACATCCACTCTTTGAGTAAAGACAAGACCTCAGCAGATTGTCAGAACCCTAGCACCTTATATTTAATTTCAAATGTTATCAAACGTATGCACTTTACCTCAACGAGTCCAGTTCTTTCCTTCTGTCACAGGCTGGGCCCTAATTTGACAGGGTTAAGAAGTGCTCATTAGTACAAGAGCAAGATGTTATGTTCAGCCTTCTAAATGACAAGCAGGCATTCAAGAGGGGCATAGTATCTCAGTGAAGAATGATTAAACTCAAAGTATCCAATGACAGGATACCGAGAAGCTTTCTGTTCCCTCAGTTACACTTTGTTATTTTGCTAATTTTTATTTCTTAATGTTTTTATTTCTCTTTACTACAGGAAGTATTTCCACAGTAGCTGAGACTCAAAGCACAAAAGAAATTCCTACCTGTATTAATGTTTGAAACAAGGACACCGATCTATCTATATCCCTTTCATGTATT